GGTCTGATTTCCTATCATTGGTATCAGAGCTGACGATCAGAGGACCTGTTTATGGTGGCGGCGAGAAGAAAAATGAATGACCGAGTGGAAAACTTGGAGCGAGAATTGGCGCGACAATCTGCAGAGATTGAGCGCGAGCTGGCAAGGCACCGCGAAGAGGCCAGGCTAAGGGATGAGGAGGCTCACGAGGAAGCCAGGAGGAGGAGCGAGGAAGTCAAAAGTGACCTCGATGACATTCGCGAGCTGCTGAGACATAAACATCGCCATCATTCCCGCGAACGATCATCGCACTCTAAGGCGAGTACTAGACATGGAAGCAGTGACTCACGTTCAATCTCAGGTAGTCATCGATCCCCTTCCTCCAAACCGATTGATAACCGACGTAGTTGGATGGAGAAATCTGGAAGAAAAGTTGATTTACCTTTTTTAATGGCACTGATGCATATGGTTGGACTATTAAGGTGGAGCGTTTTTTTAAATTGAATCAAATTGATGAGGAGGAGAAGGTTGATCTAGTAACTCTGGCCATGGAGGGAAGGGCTTTAAACTGGTATCACTGGTGGGAGGAGCACTCGAATGTCAGAACCTGGGAATTGTTTAAAGGGGCTCTGTTGGAGAGATTTGAACCAGGATTGGATCAGGATCCATATGGTCCATTATTAAATCTCAGGCAGACTGAAAGTGTGATGGAGTACAGAGATGAGTTTGAATTGGTGTCAGCACCTTTGAAAAACACTGACGTGCAAATGCTTAAGGGGATTTTTATGAAAGGATTGAAGCCTGAGGTTAAAGCTGAATTGAAGAAGAATCCTGTTAGAACACTGACAGAAGTCATGAATAAGGCTTCGAGGGTAGAAGAGAGTAATGCTATCCTATGTTCCAGCAGGCACAGGGAAGATGATAGGAGAGGAAACAAGGGGACTGTTACCAATCCACCTCAAAGGTGGTTGAGTGAGAGCAAATGGAAGAGTACAGTGACCAGTCAACCAGGGTTTGAGAAATATCATGCAGAAAAGAAAAATGAGACTGGAAACAGTGGAGTGGGAGTAAGAGGCACTCACAGGCTATCTCAAGCTGAGCTTCAGGAATTAAGCAGAAAAGGCCTTTGTTTCAAATGTGGGGAGACTTGGGGCAAGGGACACATCTGTAAGATGAAGCATTTCCAAATTGTGATGATAGATGATTCTGAGGGGGAAGAGGAGGCAGGAGACAATTATTTGGCACCCATACCTGAAGAGGAAGGACCTGAACCTTCAACCATGCAGCTATCATTGATGAGCAAAGAGGGGATGACCACTCCCAGGACTTTCAAGGTCAAGGGAGAAGTGCAGGGACTCAGAGGAAGTAAGGAGATAGTAATCCTTATAGATTGTGGGGCCACTCACAATTTCCTATCTCCCAGAGTGGTAAAGGAAGTGGGAATCCCTATTATTCAAATTCCTGAGTTTAAAGTGGAAATAGGGAATGGGGACCTCATTAGAAACAATGGAAGGTGTGAAGCCGTCACTGTGAAGTTGCAGCAGCTAGTTATAACTCAAGATTTCTACATTTTGGAGTTGGGAGACACTGAGATGGTTTTGGGAATGGATTGGCTAGCAGGGTTGGGAAATGTGGAATTCAATTTCCATAACCTGTCTTTGAAATGGGTCCAAGATGGTCAGTTGAGATGTCTGATGGGAGATCCAAAAGTGAGCAAGACTGAAGTATCTTGGAAAAGCTTGACCAAGAGGGAATTCAAGGATGAACAAGAGTACTGCCTTCATCAAACTGAGGTTAAAATAAATGAAGATAACCAAGTCAGTTTGGGGTGGATTCAGAGGATCAAAGCAGAAGGTCTTGAAGTTTTCAAAGCCTTGGAGGGTCTACCTCCTAGAAGAGATTGTGACCATACTATTGTGATTAAGGAAGGAGCCAATATACCCAACATTAGACCCTACAGATACCCTCAATACCTAAAGAATGAGATGGAGAAAGTAATTCAGGAATTGTTGAATGGTGGTCTCATCAGAACCAGCACCAGCCCCTACAGTAGTCCAGTTTTGATGGTAAAGAAGAAAGATGGAGGATGGAGATTCTGTGGAGATTACAGGGCCCTGAACCAGATTACAGTCCCTAATAAGTTCCCTATTCCTATTATAGAGGAGTTATTGGATGAGTTGAACAATGCACAGATCTTTTCTAAATTGGACCTCAAGTCTGGTTACCATCAAATTAGAATGAAAGAGGAGGACATCCATAAGACAGCTATAAGGACTCATGAAGGTCACTATGAGTACTTGGTCATGTCTTTTGGGCTTACCAATGCCCCCTCTACCTTCCAGAGTTTAATGAACCAAGTACTGAAGCCTTACCTGAGGAAATTCACATTGGTGTTCTTTGATGACATACTCATATACAGCCACACAGAGGAAGAGCATTGGGAACATATACAGAAGGTGTTACAGCTGATACACTCCAATCAGTTAGTGCTTAATGAGAAAAAGTGTTCTTTTGGGCAAAGGCAGTTGGGGTATTTGGGGCACATTATATCAAAGGAGGGAGTTGCAGCAGATCCTAGCAAGATTGAAGATATGATCAGCTGGCAGTACCCAACAGATGTTAAAAGTTTAAGGGGATTTCTGGGTCTCACTGGTTATTACAGAAAATTTGTAAAAGGGTATGGGAAGATTGTAGCTCCTTTGAATGATTTGCTTAAGAAGGATGGGTTCAAGTGGAACCCTGAGGCTCAACAGGCTTTTGAAGATCTGAAAAGGAGAATGACTCAACTACCAGTGCTGAAAATTCCAGATTTTAATCAGACTTTTGTAATAGAGTCTGATGCTTCAGGAAAAGGAGTAGGTGCTGTCTTAATGCAGGAGGGCAGACCTGTGGCTTATATGAGTAAAACTCTATCTCTCAGAAATCAAAGTAAGTCTGTTTATGAGAGGGAGTTGATGGCTATAGTTTTGGCTATTCAAAAATGGAGGCCATATCTATTGGGAAGGACCTTTGAGGTGCACACTGATCAGAAGAGTCTGAGGTTCTTGACTAAGCAAAGAATTCTGGGGGTGGACCAGCAGAAATGGGTGACCAAACTGTTAGGGTATAACTTTGTCATCAAGTACAAGCCTGGGGTGCAAAACAAGGCTGCGGATGCATTATCTAGAAAGGGTAATCTGTATTCCCTGTCTGTGGTAACCTGCCAAGAATGGGAAGGTTTGGAGTGTGAGCTGATGGAGGATAGCAAATATAAGTATATGATTCAGAAATTAGGGGTTGAGCCAGACTCCATTCCTAATTTCATCCTCAAACAAGGACTTCTCTATTTCAAGGGCAGATTGGTAATTCCTAAACACTCAGCAAGGATTCACAGCATCTTCAAGGAATTTCATGAGTCTGCCATAGGGGGACATGCTGGAAATTTCAAGACTATGAAGAGGATATCAGCTTTGTTTTATTGGGAGGGGATGAGAGCTGATATCCAACAGTTTGTGCAGCAGTGTGAAATATGCCAGAGAAATAAATACCAAGCTCTGAGTCCAGCCGGATTGTTACAGCCATTGCCCATTCCAACTCAAATTTGGACTGATCTGAGTATGGATTTCATTGGAGGACTGCCAAAAGCCCAAGGGAAAGACACCATTCTTGTTGTGGTGGACAGATTGACTAAATTTGCACACTTTATAGCATTATCACACCCATATAGTGCTAAGAGTGTGGCAGAAATCTTCATTCAAGAGGTGGTTAGACTGCATGGGTTCCCTAAAACTATAGTCTCAAATAGGGACAAGGTTTTCTTGAGTGTTTTTTGGACTGAATTATTTAAGCTGACTGGAACCAAGTTGAAGTTCAGCACTGCCTATCATCCCCAGACTGATGGGCAGACTGAGGTGGTCAACAGGTGTGTTGAGACCTATCTTAGGTGTATGACTGGGAGGAAGCCTAAGCAATGGCCTCAATGGTTACCCTGGGCAGAGTTTTGGTATAACACCAATTACCATGTGTCCACTAAAAACACCCCATATAAAGCTTTATATGGCCAAGATCCACCAGTTTTGGTCAGGGGTGATGTCACTTCATCAGCTGTGGAGGAAGTGAACAGGTTGACAGCAGCAAGGAATGAAATAATAACTGAATTAAAGAATAACTTGGCTCTGGCCCAAAATCAAATGAAACAGCAGGCTGACTTGAAGAGGAGGGAGGTTCAGTTCAAGGCAGGTGAATGGGTATATTTGAAGATACAACCATACAAGCTGAAGACACTGGCTAGGAGAGTGAATCAGAAGTTAAGCCCTAGATTCTATGGCCCGTTTGAAATCAGTGAGCAAATCAGCCCTGTGGCCTACAGATTGAACCTGCCAGATGGCTGTAGAGTTCATCCGGTGTTTCATGTGTCCCTGTTGAAGAAGGCAGTTCCTACCACTTCTACCATACAGCCCTTACCTAAATGTATAACTGAAGACTGGGAGTTGAAGGTGAAGCCAGAAGAAGTGAAGGAAAGCAGGGTAAATGATGCAGGAGAAATTGAGGTGCTGGTACACTGGGAACACTTGCCAGACTTTGAAGACTCTTGGGAGAATCTCAAGCAGCTACTGAAGCAGTACCCTGATCTCCACCTTGGGGACAAGGTGGTTGTTCCAGGGGGAGTGATGATAGGGATGCTGGGAGCCAGTCCTATTTTGATAATAATATTAAGTATTTTGATCATGTATACTCAAGGAGGAATAAGGGTCATAATAAGTAGCTATATGTTACTAGTTATCGGATGGGGGGAATATTACTATAAATAGCTAGGTCCTTGTAATAATTGGGAGGCTGGTATTGGCTTGTATTGGGCTGGGACTTGGAGAGAGGCATCTCTTAAAACTGCCAGACACTATTTCTCTCTTGTTTGTTATACGATCTTCCTCCATTACTGTTCATTGTCCCTATTTCTCCAATTCTGCTGCTAGATTATTGTTCGCATGTCTGATTTCCTATCACTATTCATTCTTGAATTTATGGGTAAAAATTCGTGAACAGAAACAAAAAGAATCTCAAATATATTAGACCATTTCCTCTTTCTCTGAATACAACTAATAACCCCACGAATAGGACTTATGCAGTAAATCAGAAGGCATCCTAAACTATTTCTTTGTTTTGAAATGGTTACACCACACCTGTTATCACTTGTGATTTTGCCATACCATAAATAAATGGTTGACGTGTTGCTCTTTACAGAAGGTTCGAATATATGTATTTACAATGTAACATCATACAACAATGGGCGAGCCTTTCTCGGGTTTTCTCCATGGCTACGTCCTCAGACATCAAAACCTTCATCTAGATAGGCTGTCAGCAAAACTCGCCGACGCTTCTCGGCAATTGATATGGATAGCACTATTCAAAGGCGAGTAATCTTTATAAAATAACTAACACTTTTCTTTTTTGTCTTTAACGGTCAATCCCTGCTGCTTCAAGTGCTGCAGCCATTGAAGCTGATGCTTCCTCAAGTGTTCTTCTCTTTTGCTTTGAGGTGAATGCTTTTAGAGTATCTCCAACCTCCCAGTCATTGAAACCTTCAACCCCTATTCCACATTCTAGTCCAGCATTTACCTGTTTTAAAGTAGTAATGAAAAAACAAGCATACAATTCTAGAACACACACCAAGTTCATGACAGACATATATAAATAAATGTCTAAGTGCCCCACATCGAATGTTGACAAGATTTGTCTCTAATATACTATGTACTTCGTATTATATATACTCCCACCGTCCCCAATACAACTTTCCACTTTCCTTGTATGGGTCTCCCAAAATAAACCTCCTATTTTCATAAAAAGTAACTTTTCAATAGCAAATATTACCTCCATCCCACTCAACTTTGCCAAGTTGATGGTAGGTGTGAAATTAGAATAGTAAAATTTGTGTGGTTGAAGTTTGTGCAGAGGAGAGAGAAATGACAGAGCCACAAAAACATTGCTTTAAAAGGAAAGTACTAAAATTTTTTGGGACAAAGTAACAAAAAAGGAAAGTTGGCAAAGTCCAGTGGGACGGAGGGAGTATAAAAACTGCCCTCATTTTTTACTTTTTATTTGATTTCACATAAAGTATGGGTATTATGGGAAAGTTAACTTCCCACTTTAACTATCATTAAAATGTGTCTAAATCAAAGTGGGTAGTTGTTTCCAGGATGGAGGGAGAATTAGTAATAGTATATACCTCTTTCACAATCTCCTTAACACGTCTCAGTGATTCAAGGACACCAACATGGACTTCTTTTCCTTTCCTAAATACCCGAATTCCACATCCTTTCACTACTTTCCCCTCTGTCATGAAGCATCCAGCAACACGGCTACTGCCACTACTGAACACTGCACGCACTTCTGCTGCACCAATTGGCACTTGTTCCTGCAAGATAAACAGTCTCATGCTCTTATGATTGTTGTAATTTAACATATATATCAATTAGATATGTGCCATATGTTAGGAATCTGCCTATTTAGTATTTTTAATAGGGTATTTGAAAGGAGAAATAAAGGGGCTGGGGGTCAGTTTAGTAATTACTTTAGCTATTTTAGTCCCTGCGTGGACTTAATGCTATAAATAGGAAAGGGGAGTAGCGTAATAGGGGGACTGATTTTGATTTATCTGTTGCCTAAGTCCCGGTTGCCTAAGAGTCCCGATACTTGTTGCCTAAGTCGAAGCTTGCTTCATCAATAAACTACTATTTCCCTCTTTGTTATCAGATCTGTTTTGCGTGTTATTGCTTTTGCTGAGATTATTCACAGGATCCTATCAATGGTATCAGAGCAATCGCTCCTAGGGATCGCAGGTGAAGTGCGACTGCAGTAGAGTTCTCGTTTCGGCATCGTTCCTCGTTTCAGGATCGTTGTGAGGTAGCGACTGCAACCTAGCTCTCGTTTTCTGAAGTGCGATTATTTCAGAGCATCACGCTCCTGGAGATCGGACTGGGTAGACGATTTCAGCCAAACGATCGGTTAAGAGGTGGATGGTGAAAACCAGATCTAAAATGGAACATCGAATGGATGCGTTGGAGCTAGAGATGAAGACGGCTGTGGCTACACTCACGGCTTCCATGGCAACGATGAATGAACAGTTCCAGAACAACCTAGCGGCTTCGTCGGCCGCGATGGCTGAGCAAATCCACAGACTGCGCGTTCAGCATCGGGGGAGGTCACGATCAAGCCACTACCATCGTTCGCGATCACCGCACAGCCCAGAGCACTCGAGAGGTAATTCTGTACACTCTCCCATCCCTACTCGCAGAGTCCATACTGGCCGGAAGGTGGATCTGCCATTTTTTAATGGAGTAGGCACCTATAACTGGTTAGTAAGAATGGAGCGCTACTTTAGATTGAATAAAACAGAGGAGGAAGACAAGGTTGAGGTTTCAATGGTGGCTATGGATGATAGGGCCTTGAATTGGTTTCAGTGGTGGGAACAACAGGCCGAGGAGATAACCTGGGAAAATCTGAAGGATGCGGTTATCCGTAGGTTCCAACCCGACTTATTGAAGAATCCCTATGGACCCATGTTGAGCCTGAAACAGACTGGAACTGTGGAGGACTATTGGGATGAGTTTGAGAAGGTAATAGTTCCACAGAAGAACATAGACAGGGGTATGCTGAGAGGCATTTTTATCAATGGCCTCAAGGATGAAATCAAGGCTGAACTGAAACTCTTCAATGGCAAATCTCTAGCTGCTACCATGGACAGGGCCCAAGCGATTGAGAAGAAAAATGATGCTATTTACACTAAGGGTAAAACTACAGAGAAACTGGAAGGAAGGGACAAGGGATCCATGAACTATAGACAACCTGTTTGGGGTGAGGGATACAAGCCAAAAGCTGGAAGTTCAGGATCCCAGACTGGTGGTAGAAATAATTCAGGACAGCAGGGCACTCAACCTTGGTTTACTCCCGATGGGAAGAAGGAAACTGAAATAAATTCCCCAGACATAAGAAGAGTAGGGCCACAGCTGACACAAGAAGAATACCAAGATAGAAGCCGGAAGAGACTTTGCTTCAAATGTGGTGAAAGATGGGGAAGAGAGCACTCTTGCAAAATGAAGAATTACAAAATGATTTTAGTGGAGGATTCCGAAGGAGAAGAGGAAATAGTTAACCCAGAAGGGGTAATCCCTGAAGAAGAAAAGATCACCATGGAATTTAAGTCCATGCAATTGTCCTTCATGAACCAGGACGGAAAACCCTCTACGAGGGCTTTTAGGGTGCAGGGGATTCTGATATGGGCTAAGGGAGAGAAGCTAGTGGATGTTCTAACTGATAGTGGAGCCTCACACAACTTCATATCCCAGAAAGTGGTAGAGCAGTTAACCCTCCCTTATCAGACCATTGCTGGCTACCAAGTGCAGCTTGGGAATGGTGATAAGGTCGTCAACAAGGGCAGGTGTGAAAAACTCATTCTGAGCTTGCAGGGAGCTGTCATTCAACAAGATTTCTACATGCTGGAGTTGGAGAGCTGACTTGGTTCTTGGCATGGATTGGTTGACTGGATTGGGGGATGTGGAGATTAACTTTCAGAAGCAGAGCATAAAGTGGCATCATCTGGGGATAAGTCAGACAATTCAAGGGGATCCTAAGTCAAACTCTATGGAGGTATCTTATCTACTGGGAAGGCAGAAAATGGGATGGAGAGGGAATTCAGCTGAAGGATTCCAATTTGGAAGGAATTGAGGGGAAGAGGAAAATTGATTACACAGTTGAAGTTGGTATGGGAGTTCTTATAAGGGTTCAAACTGGTTTGTTCCTGGATCCATTTAGAGCTGCAACGCCTCATAGCAGGACTGCCTTAGAACCCTTACATGAAGAGGTTGGTTACAAGGAGGAGGCTTCAAGTGTAATTCCAGGGAATTTTTATACCAGTTTCTGCCCCTGTTGGCTGTGGAAAATGTGATGATGAAAGTGAAAGAAATGAAGCTCCTAGAGCAGAAAACCAAGAGGTACTGGGAAGGGAGAGGTTCCAGGATGAAGAGGAAGTTCAAGATCAAGGCTATGTCTTATTACTCACCTTGAGGGCAAGGTGGTTATTTAGGGGGGGGGGGGGGGGGGTAATGTTAGGAATCTGCCTATTTAGTATTTTTAATAGGGTATTTGAAAGGAGAAATAAAGGGGCTGGGGTCACTTTAGTAATTACTTTAGCTATTTTAGTCCCTGCGTGGACTTAATGCTATAAATAGGAAAGGGGAGTAGCGTAATAGGGGGACTGATTTTGATTTATCTGTTGCCTAAGTCCCGGTTGCTTAAGAGTCCCGATACTTGTTGCCTAGTCGAAGCTTGCTTCATCAATAAACTACTATTTCCCTCTTTGTTATCAGATCTGTTTTGCGTGTTATTGCTTTTGCTGAGATTATTTACAGGATCCTATCACCATATAATACATGCAACTGAAGAAAGGGAAACACACACTTTCATCCCTCAATTGTTCGCCATTTATGCAAAGTGAAACCCATCCTCCAGTTTTTGTGTAAAGTTAGTTGATCAATTATTATGCATAGTAATAGAGATATAATTAGTCCGTCATCATAAATTCAATGTTCTTATTAAGTTTATGGGGGCGGTGTTAAGAGTATTTTTGTCAGGATGGAGTGATTGTGTCTAAGTTATAACAAATGGCAAATGCGACTAAATTACTAAAGTTGAAATATTTGATGGACCAAAAAATGTGCCTTTCTCTAGAAAAAATATGCCAATTGATGACTGGTGCACAATTCTCAAAGAATATCAGACTAAGATGTTGTCCTCTTTGCCTGAGTCTTCTAGTTTATTATTTATTCTTATAATAATCAGATGAGACAACATTCAGATCAACCAGATTAGGCCAGAAACATTCAAGCATGAGCAGAAAACTTCACATCAGATTAGAGTGTTAGACCAAACCAGATGTCATGCTTCCAACAAGAAAATTTGACAAGATCACAAGCATTCACCTCATATCATCAAATCAGAAAAGTATAGAAGAAATTAAACAAGAACATTTAGCAAGACCAGATCTTAAAGAATTCAAACCGATCACATTTTTATGTGAAAGCAAAGGCCCAATGAGACAAGAAAACAATAGATTTGATGCTTTTAGAGCATTGCTTTCCTGCCACAGGAGCGTTGAAATGCATGAAATTTACTCAAATTCATTTTCCATGTTTGACTGACACAAGGGATAAGAAAGTGAAAATTGTATGGTTGAGATTTGTGCAGAAAAAGAGAGAAACAATTTAAACCACAAGCTTGTTTCCAAGTGAAAGTGACAAACCTTTTTGGGTGACCAAATAAAGATAATACACAAAAGAAATAGGGACAGAGGGGATAGCAAATAACTTCATCACTGTAAATATAAAACGTTTCCATGTCCAGAGAGATGGATGGACACTAGTATGGTATGCATGTGAATAGATATTTCAAGCTAGTTTTCAATACTTATTTATGATCTACCGCCATAACAAATTAACAACGAGGAAAAGCGGGAGCTGCATAGTAACTTCATTTACCTCCACGGGGTCCAAAAGTCCTTCCATAGCATTTCGTACATCATCGATGAATTCATAAATGACTCTGTAAAGCCGGATCTCAACACTTTTGTTGTCTGCGTAGCTTTTGACGGAGCCCGGTACTTTGACATTAAATCCAAAAATAATGGCTTTACTTGCTACTGCAAGATCGACATCACTGGCGCTCACATCCCCAGTACCTTGTAATAGGAACTTCAGAGTGACATTGTCCTGTGGAAGAACCTGTAGAGCCTGTCTGACAGCTTCTATAGATCCCTATCCATGTTCATGTGTTCATAAATATCGAGTTACAAACAGCTTGTGTATCTATATCATACACAATCTTCATCGGTTTCTTATTCAAAAATTGAGCTGAGAAGGGAATAACATACTCCCTCCGTCCCCCAATTAAGTTCCCGGTTTGACTTCACACCTATTAAGAAAATAAATTTGACTTTACTGTGGAGTGCACTGGTTTGCACTGTTCAAACACTGTTTGACACTGTTTGGCACTGGTTTGCGCTGTTTGACACTGTTTTGATATAGATACTTTGCCAAATAAGGAAAATAAGGAAGTGTGAACTTATTTTAGGGACTGTCCAAAAAGTAAAGTGGTAACTTAATTGGGGGACGGAGGGAGTAGAAAAATTCATGAATCCAAACTGCAATGTGTTTGAATACCTGCACATCAACTTTCAGAATAATATTCAGTTGGTGCAAATCAATCCCAGTAAGCTTCCCAGCTGAGACAGCAGAAGCAAAAGATGATAATGTAACCTTCCCATCCCCAGCCTTTGCTGATATCCGCTCAATTCTCAATGATTCTTCTCTCTTCTGTGCTTTCTCACGTGCAATATCAAGAGAGCCAACTACCTCAAACTCATCACCAGCGTAGGGGACATTATTCAAGCCAATTACCTGTTGGAGCATTGGACAAATGTTTCAAATTGATGAGGTCAATTAGTAATCTTGAAGTCATCATCATTATCATTACCCCAGTGCCGCAAAGGCTCCCACCTACGGTGGGGTAATCTTGAAGTAATATATAAAAACTATATCTCAGAGCATTCCAGAATACCCATTTTATTCAAACAGAGGCCACTTACAAATGTATATTACTCCCATTGTCTCGAAAGAAACTTTTATTTTTCTTTTTGGTCCACCACTGAAAAAACTTAGTCTCATTTTATTAAGGACAAGAAATATGTGTTCCTTATCATTTCTAGTTTTCTACCTAGATTTAAACCATGTTTTTCCTTTTCAACAACTTTTTTAACAAGCATGTCGAACAAAAACAAGAATTCTATTAAATATATAGGACAATGATCATGTAAGGTAGGCCTAAAATTTGCAATTTTAGGCCACTTTCATTTGAGGGGGTCGAATTTTTTGATGACATTTTGTGAGCATGCTCTCCGTGAAGTGTGTTATCAATTGTCCACCAAATTTCAGCTTAAATAAATTATTGAAAAAAACTGCATTATTTATATATATAAAGATGCGCAATTTTCAATAATTTATTTAACTGACTTCTCGATTGAATTTTAAACTGAAATTTGGTGGACATAAACCACACTTCATGGAGAACATGTTCACAAAGTTGCATAAAAAAATTCAACCCGGAAGAACCTCAAATGAAAGAGGCGTAAACATATACAGAGTGAGTATATATTCTGGATTTGGCAAACAATTAATAACAGTTTAAAATTTTCGTTCATTAGTAGCAAGTATAAATTTTAACCATTACATCATATGTTAACAATTCCATTTTACAGAAGATAATCCAACTTGTATCATCATCATCATTTTCATTTACCCCAGTGCCGCAATAGCTCCCACCTACGGTGGGGTAGGGGGGGGGGGTCGAATGTACGCAGTCTTACCCCTGTACTAAAGCAGAGAGACTGTTTCCGGATGACCCATAGTGAAAATCGCGTCCAAAATTGCATGGACTGACTGCTTCTCCACAACAAAGAAGCGCAGACAGTTTAGTGAGCAATTTTGCTTTATTCCATCATAATCTCAAGCCAAAAAATAATGAATCTTTGGCTCCATTGCAAATGATGGACATAATGATGGACATAATCCAACTTGTAATGATGAACTAATCATGACCTTTAGATAAATTATAAAGGAGAGAAACTGAATTTCTAGTGACCATCTTTAAACAAATTGAAGATTCAAAATTTAAAATAAATAGTAGTTGATACTAATTAATAGAAAAACCGGAACCCTTGAAGTGATTTAATGACCAAAATCGAAGTTGGCTTGGTCACAAATTTCTGCCAGGCACGCCTAACAAGAATACTATGTGTGCACGTATTTTTATGTATATAACTAACAACTATAAAATTGTGAAATTCTAAGTAACAATGGAAGCTCGGCTCATACCTGGACAGGCATGGAAGGTCCAGCTTCAGTAACACGTTTTCCATTGTCATCAAATAAGGCTCGGACCTAAACATGAGCAAACATGGAAATAATTCAAAAAGGAGAGACTAATATGAACTCAAGACCAGTAAGTTTTTTACATATTACACCCTTGGGTTGATCAACACTGAAGAACGCAGACCGAGTTTTATCTAGAACTCTTAATAGAAGTTCCCAATTCCCAGAAAGATAAACTATATTCACAAACCTTCCCATAAGCTTCACCACAAACTATGACATCGCCTGTTTTTAATGTTCCATTGAGTACAATGAATGTAGCTATAGGTCCTCTGGATTTATCAAGACCAGCTTCAATCACAGTTCCCTTGGCATTCCTATGAGGATTGGCCTTCAACTCTTGCAGCTTCAGTTTAGAAAAGCAAATCACAGAGTTAAATTACCAAGGATACAGTTAAAGTGTTATACACACATGTACACAACATATATGAAAATTAGACATTCCAGTACTAGAAAAGTTACTACAATTTCAAGAATCAAGATAGAGTCTTAGAAGAGGGGTGAAAGATCAAATTGTGATGAGTGCAGGGGTGTCCTTGGAGATTGACATTACATAGATATCTACATTGTTCAATTGTTCTTCATGTGAACTCATAAACATGATAGTGGTTGGCAGTACTAAAATCAAGTGTACTTACTTCTGCAACAAGCATGACCGTCTCCAGTAAATCATCTATATTCTGTCCTTTCAGAGCACTGACCTGTTCAAGAATATAGCAGAATAACTGAGAATTGAAAAATAGTCCATACCCCACCCTAAAAAACAAACAAACAACAAAACAAATAATAGTGAAGTGCATTTCCATTTCACCACCTTAACCATTGGAACTTCACCACCCCAGTCTTCTGGCATTAAACCAATAGAAGAAAGATCTTGCATTACTCGATCTGGATTAGCTCCATCCTTATCAATCTAAAAGGCACAAAAACAAATCATCACTCTAAACAGCAGGCATTCAGGATATAAAAGATAAGTGTAAAACCAAGGGCTCATTCGGTACGAGTTATTTGGCTGGATCTGATGAGTGATGTAGGAAAAGTGCTTGGTAAAACTGTTTCCACCATGCAAGTAAAAGTCCGTGTATTCTCATTATTATGCTTATTGTGCTGTTAATGCTACCAAACAGAGGCTAAATGCACTTAATTTTAGAAGACCTTGTTTATGGCAACCACAATAGGAACTCCAGCTGCTTGAGCATGTGCAACAGCCTCATTCGTCTGAGGTCGGATCCCATCGTCTGCAGCGACTACAATGATAGCAATATCAGTGACTCTGGCTCCTCGAGCCCTCATTGCTCCGAAGGCCTAAACAAACCATTAGATAAACCACCTTGGTTATTAAGTTCCACAACTTACTTTGAGAAGTTATTACTCCATACTAAGTGCAATAAATAGTCAGTATACCTCATGCCCAGGAGTATCAAGGAAGACACAAGTCTGAGGTTTTCCATCTGTTTGTACTTTCACCTGATATGCACCAATCCCTTGTGTGATTCCACCAGCTTCAGATGCTGCTACCTAAATATTTACCGTCAGAATTCATGTTTCAACTACTACATTGTTGATTGCAACACTTGTAAGTAGAACATATCGTCTCTCTCTCTATCTCGAAAAGAAAAAACCACATTTCTAAAAATAAATGGATTTTTCCTATAACAATAATAATACTAAAACCGAGCTCATGAAAAAAATATGACTAGATGTCACTACGAAAATACCGTCATGGTCACCATAGTCTAAAACTTGACATCAGTGCGGTCACTACCGTCACTGCAGGCAGAACCTTTACATTAACATTAGTGCTGTAGTGTATCATTGTCTGCAGCTAGTTCAATGATAGCAATATCAGTGACCTTGTGTGTTAAAACTCACATTTTTATCTATTTTATTCATTTTAGTCATTCTGTTCCTCAAAAGTCAATGCTTCTGAAACTAATAGTGAAAAAGAAAGAATGTAAAAAATGTAACAGTGTATCTCAGTATGGTTGTGTACGCAGAAGCTTCATGTATACCTTGCTCTTGCGAATATAGTCCAAAAGGGTTGTCTGAAAAGAGAAAATAACAAAGTTATCTAGACCGGGTAAATGGTCCTAACATGAAATAACTCCATAAGGTAGATATCGAAATGGAAGCACTAATCTGAGTTGAGGGTTGGGGGGGGGGGGGGGGGGGAGGAAACTGTGACCTTTAATTGTTTACCTTTCCGTGATCTACATGGCCCATTATAGTGATGACTGGAGGTCTAGATTCCAATTTTTCCAAATCGCTTTCATCTAAAATCTCACCCTTTTTTGCCATTGCTTCCACTTTAACTGGATCAGCATCAATAACTTCCACCTCATACTCTTTACATATCATCTTTACCATATCTTTGCTGAGAGTTTGAACACCATCAGGTTTGATTCCCTTCGTGTAGAAGTAACCAAGAATTTCACCTTCACTAATAGCTAAATTGTATGCTAACTCTTCAACTAGCATGCCTTCAGCCTCCACCTCCAGAATCTCAGCCTTAACAGGAGCAGCCTCTTTAGCCGCCTGCAGTTTTACTGCCTTACGGCTTGCCTTGTTCCATTTCCTAACTTTCCTTGTTGTGGAAGTGCCTGGAATAGAGACATTGAACTGTGATGTCACGTCATCAGGAATATCCTCATCAGAATCATTAGCCTTTCTCCTCCTTACTCCTCCGGACGAACCATTTCTTCTTCGGAACTCATCCTTGAACCTCCCAGGTGGTTTTGTAAGGCTCTTTAAGGGTTTTGGACGGGATGAAACTGGTTGATTGTCAGGAGGATCACTGGCTGTTTTTTTAGAAGCAAATTTGTCAACTAATATTGGTTTGCGTTCTTTGGGATTTAAAGTGGATGTAGCTGCACCTACATCCTTCAAGATAACTGTTTTTTTTACTGGAGGTGGAGGAGCTATAGATGGTTTTGTTTGCAACTGGGCTTCAAGTTTCTTAGGAACTCTTGGAGGGGCAGCAGCAGTTTGAGACTGGGGCAGCTCTACCCGGTCTGTTTTTGGCTCCTTTTTAGGAAGCTTCTTTACAACTTTCTTTACAGTAGATACTGGATTCCCTTTCCTCCACACACTCTTCATCGTCTTAGTGATTTGCTGAGGAACATCCATAGAATTACTCGGTTTTCCATTACTTTCTACGGCGCTTTCGCTGCCCAGTGGTTTCTTAGCACGGTCCACTCTCTTAAGCATATCTAGCTTCTCCACCTTATCGAGCACCTCTCCAAGTGACTCAATTAATTTGCTTTTATCTTCTATATTTGAATCTGAACTGATTTTTGTTCCATCCCAAGCTGAAGAACTCAAACCTGAAAGAGGTGCAATTTCTGTCACGGGTTTCAATAGAGGTTTAGGAGTCTGATTGAGTATAAGATCAGAACTCTTGTCATCCTCACTGCTTCTAGGCAATGAATCCAAGGTTATAGATGTTCCCTGATCAGCAACAAAATCCGCAGTTACTGAGTATCTACAAATAGAGACGTATCTCCACTGCCTACCTACCCATATTCTTCGAAAGCTCCTGAAATTCTTAGCGAAGGAAATGCTCCCCGCCAGAGAGGATGGACCTTCATACTGCCCAGAAGAACACCTGCAAACGCTTCCCAAGTTCACCAGGGAAGTCATAGTAGACATTGCTCTGTGCACAGATTATCCAAACACTATCATAACTTCCTACTTGACAATGCTGCAACCTAACAAATTCAACCCCCACGGTTTAGGTTCTCTACTATTTAACAACTCAAGAATCACTCGAATTGACGCACTTACATGAAAAATGTGATCTTTTTACATAATTGAACTCAAGAAAATTATATATATACAAAATAAGTGAATGGAATAGTTTGTATAATACCTTTAAGCGGCTCTGGCATTGCTGTTTGAGGATGGACAACGTTATCTGGGCTGATGATGCTACGGAAACGATCGTTAAAGAAGCCTGCGGCTGAGAGGGAGTGAGGCCAAGTACGTGGTGGACGGACAGACATATGGCCATCGAGGGAGATAAGGCTTTTGGTTGAAGTTTAGTTTATCCCTTTTTCCAACTTTTTTTTGAGTCATCCGGAGATTAAATTTAATTATTATTCATATTTTGGAACATACGGAATACTCCGTAGTATTTATCATTTATTCTTTGGGAAAATTAGATTTGAAAAGTACTCCCTCCGTCTCGTTCATTTCTTCCGGTTTTGACCGGTATCGTAAATTTAGGTAGTTAGAATAAAGTGAAAATGTATGGTTGTAGTCGTGTAAGAAAAAGGTGAATGAATGATTGAATGTGAACCACATATTTTTTCCAAAAGTGAAAGTTGGAAGAATTAATTGGGACGGCTCAAAAAGGAAAATTGGAAGAAATGCCCGGGACGGAGGGAGTAATAAACTGTAGAACACATGAATCATTAAGAAAAATAGTTATCCCTACAAAAACCAGGAAGAAAATAAATGTTAGGAGTTATTGAAAAGTTGGGTGTGTAATATTGACATGCATGATACTTCTTTAATAGACCCCACAAATGACAAATCAACCAATTCTGAAAATGTACATTTTCAGAATTGATTTATTAATACAATAAAAATAATACTTATTCTTAAGTAGTTTTAAATTGGAAAAATGTTAATGATATTTTTAAACTCTCCATTATCAGTGATATTATTATTATAACGGGGATAATATGAAAATGAATATTTTTAAAATTAATACCAAAAAATGTGTTTTTATAAGTTAAGAAAATACGAAATAGGGAACTTTAACAACATATACATACTGAAAAATATCAACTTTAAATATTTTATGACAAAATTAAAGATTTCTTAAAAATAACAAAGCAAAAACATTAAATAAAATAAATATAATTAATCCAACAATATCAATTCAAAAGAAATAAAAAAACACTTTTGGGATTTTACCATTGTATTACGGTACTTTACTTTACCATTGAATTTTTAATTAATTTAGTACTACATCCGTCTTATTCAAAGGTTTCTACTTTCCTTTTTGGACGTCTCATATAAAGGTTCTCATTTTTATTTTAAAAAATAATTAACACTCTTAAACAATAATTTAATAACCAAATATTTAAAAGAAAAATATAACCATCAAAACTATTTTTCAAAATAAACTCGAATAACTTTATTAAGAATTGTCTAAATAACTGGGTCATTTTAAGCAGGACTAAGGTATATCAATTATCCAATAAATTAAATATATTTGGTAATTACCATTTTAGTTCAAACTTTTCTCCTATCTAGCAACTAGCTTGTATTGGTTAATTTGCTTGAAAATTTTTAAAAATTGCAAGCAAGTCCTAGGGAGGAACCATTGAAGGAAGATGCACTCCAATGGTAAGCTACTAGCTTGATAATTTTTAAAAATATCAAGCAAGTCCATGGGAGGAACCATTGGAGATTCTCTTATAATTTTATTTGAAATGAAATTTTTAGATTTGAAGACTTTAATGGTGATTAAGGTTTGATATGGTCTAAATTGATCTGCTTAATTTTTGTCGGAACTGCATTAATCTAGCCCGTTAGTTTTGGTATTATATGTATCTCACTACACCCTCCGTTCTAAAACAAAATTGACTTTACTTTCATAGATATTACAGAAAAAGTTCTCGGTTTAAAAAGACAAAATTTATATTTTTTTTAAAGGAAAACGACTATATTGATATCATTAGAATCAGGATCGTTACAATAATCTCAAAATGATCGGAAATGGCAACAACCTTCACCTTCCAACTACTACTTTTAGCCCTACGATTAGACATAGAGACGACCACCCCTAAAAGAGCAATACGAATCACTAACCACCGGACGGGCTTAATGCAACTATTGCTGAAAAAATAGATCTGTCCCCCACTAATTGTTGGAAAAATGTGTTAAAAATTGCATTAAATGATCATTTTGGGGCAATTATTTGAGTGGGGTCCACTTCCATTTGGGTCGGGTCAAAGTGGTTTCGGATTGTCCTTGTTAAGGGCTACAATTCGATATATGGTACGCTCAAAACGGATAACAGGTGAATGAGAAATTGATTCGTGAAGTTCACTCGTTGAAATGGAAAAACTAGGAAAATGATGGGTTTCTAGTGTGTTTTATACCACACCGGAAAACTCAAGGGATTTTCACCCCCTTATAAAGGGAACCCTCTTTTAAGGAGTTAAGATTCTTAAAGGTAAAGGCTCTCTCTCGCACGCAGGGGGTGCGGATCAAATCCCGAAAATGGAGAAGAAAAACCGCGACTCGTGTGCGCGGGCGACCTGCAGACACGAATGCCGCCCGAAAAATCTATCATTCAAAGATATTGGCAGAACCAGAATACCGTGACCGTGGGGGTTTTCTGTTGGCTTCGGAACAGAAGACCATGAGGTCTTCTGGTTGCCTCCGGACAGAACACCTCAAGGCTCTTCTGGTGGCCTCCGGACAGAAGACCTCAGGACTCTTTTCTGGTGGCCTCCGAACAGAAGACCATGCTCTTCTTCTGGTCACGCAACTGAGCGGTTACAGTCATAAATGCCCAACGTTCTTATGCCTTAATGCTTCTTTAAATGGACAGTTTTTCAATATATTAATGCCCAACGTGCTGGACATTTATGTGCAACGTTCAGGTCCATTAAAGCTCGGTTAACACACCACAAGTCCTCCTATAAATACCTGCCATGTGGTTTGCAACAAAACACAACGCACAATACATTCTTCACGATTTTCTTAAGCTAAAATACCTTCAGCTACTCCGAAAATTTCCTAAGTGTTCTAGCTTGTTCCCGTTCGCCGGAACTTTCGTTTGTGTGCTCAAACGTTAGTTCCTTAGCCACTGTATCCTGGGAAACGGTCGTTGCAACGGTCCTAGCACCGTGGGAGGCGACGAATACATTTTAAGGACATCGTGCGTAGCACGAGCTCTGGCTAAACTCTGTTCCATCTATTTTCTGTTTTCTTTTGGCTATTTTATTTATTAATTAATTTTTATTAATTAATATTTCTACGTTTATTCGAGACACACCCAACACTAACAATATCAAATATAGTCAAACACTCGATCAATGTAAACAACCTATTATCATAAGCAAATACCGAAAGCAAAACGATAGCAACAAATTTATTCGAAAACAGACTAAAAATGGGAACAATGAATTTAAGTAGGATGAACTTATTGAGCCGCTGAACCCAATTTTTCAGCGCGGTGTTCCGATCCCTAACCTCCCATTTCCAGCATGGCGGCGGTTCAGGAGGGGGACGGATCTTCATCCCTTTATCTTCTTCCTTCAACACCCTGATCTGCCCGTGATTCGCCTCCACTCTTTGCCAACATACCGCACGAGCACAACCAGTCCAAACGCGAACAATCTCCAGATCCCTATCATCTCCCCTGTGCTGCAATTGAGATTCACCAAGACCCTGTGATCCCAAATGCTCCCACGCCCCACCCTGTGCTCCAGATGTGGAAAACTAGCAAAACTCCGGGACACTGAAGCGCCAAGAAAGCTATAGCGCCGCCCGCAAAAAACATAGACTTGTTAGGACCGCCGCTGTCGTGAACCTGAAAGGGTAACCGCGGACTAAAATTGAGCTATAGCAGAGAAAGGCATCAGATTATAATGGCCATCCATTTGAGCTTCATAAGTGGGGACGGCTGTTTATGCTACCAACGGCGCAAAGATAAAATTTATATAAAAAGTGTTATAACTAGATTTTAAGAAATCAAATACATTGGGCGGTTGGGCCAAACAAAATGGAAGTGTTTAATGTCCATCAATAAATTAAACAGATACTCCCTCCATCTCAAAAAATGTTTGTCAAATTGACTTCTTTTGGTCAATGACAATCGACTTTGACTAATGATTTTTTTAATACGAAATTGTTTGAATATGAAAATTATATCAAGATGCTCCTTATTTAAATTATTTTCATAAGAGTATATAATAATTAAAATCATTGTCCAAAATTTGCTACTATTGACCAAGAAAAGTCATATGACATCAATATTGCATATATAAAATTCAAAAAAATCTGAACATTTATTAAACAACCTTCTAATTTTATAACGTAAATATGAATTATTCTGTATTAAATACAGAAAAAGTTTCTAATATATGATCAAGATAGGGATAGTTGATAAACATATGGCTTATTTACTGATGGATAGTCTACCCGGGGGTATGTATCCGGAGGGTTATTGCGGGGAGTAACTAGAGAGAAGTCAGAGCAAGTAAGAGAGAGAAAGGGTATTGAATATGTGAGTTCAAAGTGTATTCCGAATCTGGTTTACAAAGGGGGTGCTATTTATAGTAGCAATAAATGCGAGACGGGGACACGTGTCAAGCATCCAACGGCCGGGGGGTCACATCAACCAGGTGTCACTGGCATTCGCATGTGGCCGCATTTAATGCGGTGGTTGGATGTGACGTTGTACTTGGTACGACGACCCAGTCGCATGTGGATAGGATATTCTTGTCGAGGAAGGTACCCTCGGCTGTAGATGATTAGCCGAGGGCTCTTCCTGTCGAAGGCCCCTTTAAGACCGAGGGCTCCAGGTGCTGAGGGCTACTGGTTTTTGCAGTTTTCTCCCAGTAACTTTGTATGCTGAAAATAGCCTTTCTGTGAGTAACTGGAGCCTTCGACCAAGGGGCCGAAGGCACCCCCAGTGTGCATTGTCGGTTGCTTGGTACTCGGAGCGCTGTGATTTGGGTCTGCTGTGCTTACCGAGCTTATTGGGCCTTGATTTGAGTAGTAGGAGTCTATGGGCCGGGGGTCCCTGGGCCATATATTCCATCATTAACTTTTAGTAAATATAATTGTTTTCAAAGTCACTATAAAAGTTCATAGACAATTTATTTAGTTTTTTATTTACAAATATCTATATTTTGGAGGGGTTCTTCCTTATAGTTACTTTGATATGGAGTATAAAACTAAAATATATATTTTTTTTTTTTGCTGGAAAACGCTAATATTAAATTCAAAAATCAAACAACTAAGCATCATGTATTCTGGCTACCCAAACATTTCATCTAGACTCCTTATAGCCAATAGGCAACCCCACTCTCTGATTAGACATAAAATACACTGCCCAATAATGAGCAAGACTAAT